TATTTCCATATACTTGTTCTCTATGCAAACACATTTAGGGGAAAGACAGCATCGTGTAAAGAAAAGTACTAGAGTTTGGAGCCATTTTACTTTCTACACAGTCTCAGCCCAATAGATAACCTTTCTGAACACTTCCCATCTCTGCAATGGGGATAATATTGACCCTGAAGTACTGCAAAGATTCAAACAAGATAGACCACATGAAATATCCTAGCACAGCATGGAGACCATATTATATCATATATGTGTGTTTGTGTGTGTGTGTGTGTGTGTGTGTGTGTGTATCTGTGTGTATTTCTTTCTTCTCCAATAACATTCCATGATCATTTGATAAATCCCTTTTCAGATGTTTGTGAGCCATTGGAATTTTTGGATCACATGTTAAGCAGTGGTAGAACTCAGTTCTTACCATACTGTCAATAAGTATTCTATTTTATCTTAAAAATATATTTGTTCCATAGTAGAGCTAATTATTCTGATGGATATTTTGTTGAACCACATGCCCATATCATGATATATATTTAAAATAGTAATGTCCTTTAAGCCAGGAATCATATTTCTAAGGACTTATGGTAGAGCCATAGATATGCTTGATATATGTTCAATACAAATTGTTTATAATGGGGAGGGATGGAAACAACAGAATCATTAATAATCACATTTGTGTAATATGGAGTATAATGGAGACATTAAATCACACTTTGAAGGAATATTTAATTATGATTTGCTCAATATAAAGTGAAGTTGTGGATATATAGGTGCATTGTCCTGGCTGCCTTGATGTCCTGAATTGATTCAAAATATTGACTTCCATGAAGATTTTGACTTTGGAAGAGAACCAGAAGTCTCAGAATGCCAGATGAAGTGCAGAGGTGGATGAGGACCCACCTGACGTTTTCACAAGCTTTCTCTTTCCATTGGATGGAACTCAGCAACCACATTTAATGTATTTTCAAGCACACCTCATAAAAACACTCAGGAAAGAGGACTTCAAGAACAGCCTCAAAAAGTGGCAAGAGTGATGGGACCAGTGTTTGAAGAGAGGGAGTATTTTGAGGGGGATTAATTGCAGTGTGTCTTTTACTGTAATATATTTTTAAAATTTAAACACTCACCATATATTTTGATCATTCCTTATAGATTTATGTCTTAGAACTTTTTTCCAGAATTTCCACAAAATATATGGGACACTTTTAATTAGAAAAGCACCAGGGCCCTTATGCCCACTTAATTTTAAATAAGATATTTAAGATTAATATTTAATATGAAGAGAAAAACTAACCATCTTTACATAAATTACTGTAGTATTTTGTTTCACTTCATTGAGAAAACAATTGGATGAAAGAGTTCTAAACTACATATTGTGCTTTTTGCAAGGTAGCTTTATAAAGTCGCAAAAGCAGAGTTTGGGGGTTTAAACTGAGCTGGGTAGCCCTGGACAAGTTACCCTCTGGACCTGCTTCCTCACAGCTAACTTGGGGTTGATTATCCAAATAAATCACAGACTGTGTGGACATTTCCAAAACAATTGTAAAAGGTCAGGTACTAAATCACTATAAAAGCTAAAGATTCATAAAATGATTGACTAAGAGAAAAATCTGTGGAACTTTGTGTGTAAACAATGCCAACAACTGTTTGGTGTAAACTATACTAAAAAGCAAAATTAAAGTAACAATTAACATTTGCTATGTAATACACTATATTAACAGAGCGAAGGACAAACTATGTGATCCTCTCAATGGATGCAGAAAAACCATTTGACAAAATTCAACACTCATTCATGATAAAAATCCTACAGAAAATTGGTATAGATGGTCTTTATTTCAATCTGATAAAAGCCATCTATAACAAACCAAAGCCAACACCATACTAAATGGACAAAACCCGAAAGCTTTCACTCTAAAGTCAGGAACAAGACAAGGATATTCACTGTCACCACTCTTGTTCAGTACAGTTCTAATTGCCAGAGAAATTAGACAAGAAAAAGAAATAAAAGGAATAAGGATAGGAGAGGAAGAAGTTAAATTATCATTATTTGTGGATGACATGATACTCTACACAAATGATCTCAAAAAATCCACCAAAAGACTTTTAGATTGACAACCAAATTCAGTGGTGTAGCTGGATACAAAGTCAACACTTAAACATCAATAGCTTTCCTATATACAAATAACAGACTCATGGAGAAATGTGAAAAACAATCCCTTTCAAAATAGCATCCAAAAAATGGAAATACCTAAGAATCAATCTAATGAAGTAAAAGACCTCTGCATTGAAGTCTACAGTACTCTGCAGCTGGGGATTTAGCTCAGTCGTTCTGCCGCCTGCCTTGCAAGCACAAGGTCCTGAGTTTGATCCCTGGAAGAGAAAGAAACCAACCAACCAACAAACAAACAAACAAAACCTACAGTACTCTGAAAAAGAAAAGGATCGAAGAGGATATCAGAAAATGGAAAGATATCCCTTGTTCTTGGATAGGAAGAACCAGGATAGTGAAAATGGCCATATTTCCAAAATTATTATACAGATTCAATGCAATCCCAATCAAAATGCCAACAGCTTATCCCACAGAATTAGAAAAAAAAATTCTAAAATTCATTTGGAACCAGAAGAAACCTAGAATAGCAAAGGCAATTCTGGGCAACAAAGGCAAAGCAGAGGGTGTCAGAATCCCTGACTTTGAATTATACTACAAAGCTATGGTGATAAAAACAGCATGGCACTGACCAAAGGACAGACCTGAGGAACAACAGAACAGACTAGAGGATGCAGAAATAACTCCAGACCTACTCAACCACCTTAACAAAGAAGCCAAACACCTTCACTGGAAGAAAGATAGCCTCTTTAATAAATGACGCTGTAAAAACTGGCTTTCCAAATGCCAAAAATTGAAACTAGATCCATATCTTTCACCATGCACTAACCTAAAATTGAAATGGATAAAAGATCTAAGTATTAAAACAGAAACACTAAATCTTCTTGAAGAGAGAGTAAGTGGAATGCTCAAGGACATAGGAATAGGCAAAGACTTGAACAAAACCCAGACTGCATGAGAAATACTAGAAAAAAAACCAAACAAACTAGGACCTCATCTTGTTAAGAAGATTTTGCACAGCAGAGAAAACACCAAATGAGTGCAGAGAAAACCCACAGAGTGGGAAAAAAATTTTAAAAGCTAATTCAGATAAAGGACTATTATCTAGAATATATAAAGAACTCAAAAAATCCAACTCCCCCAAATTTAAAGAGCCAATGCAAAAACGAGCATCTGAAATAAAAAGACATTTCTCAGATGAGAAATTAGAAATGGCAAATAAATGTATGAAAAAAAGTTCAACACCACTGGTCATTGGAGAGATGAAAATTAAACAACACTGAGATTCCATTTCACTCCAGAAAGAATAGCTGCTATCAAGAAATCAACCAACAATATAAACACTGGAGGGCGCTGGGGAAAAGTAACCTTTCTCTATTGCTGGTGGGAATGTAGACTGCTACAACTATTGGGAAATCAGTGTGGAGATTCTTCAAAGAACTAAAACTAGAGGTTCCTTTTGACCCAGTTATTCCTCTTCTTGGTATCTTCCTGAATTAAAAACATCATACCACAGCGATATATGGGCACCCATGTTTATAGAGTCACAGTTTGTAATAGCTAAATCTTGGAAACAGCCCAAGGCCCATCAGTTGATGAGTAGATAAAAAAAATGTGGGTTTTAAAAAATATAATGGCGTACTACTCTGCCATAAAGAAGGATGAGCTTCAGACATTTATATCTCAATGGATGGACCCTGAGACCGTACTCTTAAGTGAAATAAATCGGATACGTTTAAATACTGCATTGTTTCTCTGGTGCGAGAAACTGAATGTGGAACTAAGGGCTGAAATGAATAATGGATGTTAGGAAATGGGAAAACCATGTTCAAATGGGAAGGGGAACAAGGGAGGAGCGGGGGAGGAAGGGAGGAAGGGACAAGAAAACAAGAGAAAATAGAAATGGAAACAAAGCTTTTGTACATAGGGACGGGAGGGGGTTTGAGGAGGGGAATGGAATAAAATATAATAAAATCATAAAAACAAAAAACACAACAAAAAATTGACACTTACAAAGCCCTTACACAGTCAAGCACAGTTCCCACGATTTTTATGATTTTTTCCCCCTCACAACAACCCCGAGGATGGCACTGGTTTCAAAGCCTCCTCAGCAGCTGAGAACAGCTTGGCAGTGAGAACCCTGTGCGGTTCCAACCCCACGTGCTGGGCGGGGGCGCTGAACTCGCCTCACTCCTCTTCCTGCCCCTGCCCCCGACCCCGGGTTCTGCTCTGGTCTGCCGGATTGCAGGACAGTGGCACTGCCCCGCGCGGGCCCAGCAAAGGCAGCAGCTCTTCCGGTGGATGATCTGAAGCCAGAGATGGCAGGAAGAACTGATGTGATTCTTATTGATGTCGTTAATCAGACCGATGAGCCCACGATAATGTAAAATATTCTTCCCGTCCTTAATTATCACCCTGGCTGGGCTGATGCCCACACAGAACAGAAAGGCAGGGAGCTCACCACACCTTATTCTACACTCAGCTTGACCTCGTCTCACCTGCCCTAGTCTCGCTCCTCCCAGTTTCCTTAATAAACGGTGAACCGGGCTGCTAGAGTAGAGAATACTCAGGAAGAAGTGGGCACCGGCGTCCCCTAAACCTCAGAATCTGTGAGAGCCCCAGTCTCACTCTCACAATTAGGAATGGGCCAAGTAAACCCATCAAACAAGCTGGCATTTGCTCGAGGCTGGGTAACGAACCAGAAGCCTTGATCTCTGCAGCCTTGCGGAGACTCCCAGGACGGAATCCACAGCTGACTGCTAGCAGCCAGCACTGGTTAAATTCCCGCCTCACGTCTGGTTGCTAGGATACACGGCCCAGCCACCTCCTCCAATCAGCGCGCATCTCTTTATGTCCTATCACAGAAGCGAAAAGAGCTATGGTGGGAGGTGAAAGGTCACGCTGCTGTTTGGCGGCCATTTCTCTTGACGCTCAAGGGTTCGGTCCTACGGGGGCTGCTGTGGACACGCGGGATCTGCGGCAGCTGGGTTGGCGGCGGGTAGAGTGCAGCTTTCGCCTGTATTCGCGATGGTGAGGAACGGGAGAACTTGCTGGAGAGGGAGCGAGGGAAGGGGCGTGACAACCTTTCTGGGTCTGGGGTTGCTTCGCGCGTTTCCCATTCATCCGCGCGGGGCGCCGCGCTCCCCTTCCTCGCTGCTCTGGGCTTCGGAGGCGCGCGCTCCTGGCGTTGCGAACCTCAGCCACCTTTCCCCTATTTATACGAATCCTACCCTGAGGTAGTTTTTGTTGATTGAGGCTGTAGGTTTTCACTCTTCATCATGCAACACTTCAGAATCCGCGTTTCTTTCTTGTTATTGGGAATCCTGACCCGTAGCTCTCTGGGACACAAAGCCCAGGCTTTAAAGAAGCATTCATTTACTTGTCCAGCAAATACTCATTGACATGCTACCTGCCAGATACAGTTCTTAGGCTCTAGGGAGATGGGATGTAAAAATCCTGTTGCAGACTCTGCTGTATATGGTCAGGTGTGGGAGGAAGACATTAGTCAAATAATAACAAATACGCAGTTGAAATAATGGTAAGCAATAGGAAGGAAGCAAGTCAGGATTCTGTGAGAGGACGCGTGGTTACATTAAAGGGCTGGTCGAGGTTGGCTTCCCGGGTTTGTGGGAGCTAACCTGAAATCTAAGTAACAGGAAGTCACTCACTTAGAGGAGGAACAGGAGTAGGGGTCCTTAGGCCCCAAAGAACTTGTTCAGTTGGAGGAATTGACAGGGTACAGCTGGTTGCAAAAACAGTGATTCTGTTTGAGTCTGTTGCAAGTGCAGTTGGAAGTATGTAGTTGTGTGTTACACAGAGAGATGACCTGATTTGATGCAGACTTTAAAAAAATAATTGTTTCATGGATAATGAGCTGGAGTGACATTTGGAGCCCTCTTAGGAGGTTATTGGCAGTGATTCCAGTGTCCTCCAGAATCACTCTGAAAAGAGGGGCTTAATAGCCAATGTTCCTGGTTCTTTCCTGTCTTTAGGATGAGCAGATGAGAGGGAAAATATCTGAACTCACACAGAAAAACATTTTTGAGTGATTGCATTAAAGAGATACTGCCAATGATAAAAAGTGAAATAAGACTTAGTCCTTGCTTGCAGCATTAAAATGAAAGACTGCTTAGTGTGACCTGTCCCACTCCCTTTATTTGGGACTCTGACAGTAGAGAATGTGTCTGTGCCCCATGAGATTATCTTGCTGTTTGACTTTTCCTCCTTTGACGTAGGTAGCCTCCCTTCCTGGAACAGCCTTTTCTCTGTGGACATCATCTCTTCCTTTCAAACTGAGGCGACTTTTATTTCAAGCACCCTTTCCATTTCTTTTTGCCCTGGTTGGTGTGATACCCTTCCCTTGTGCATAGCATTTCTCATCTTACTGTATAGTGTCATGCAGTATAAATATTTGTCTGTGTATATGTCCTCCATGCCCTATGGGACAGGGACTCTGTGCCCCCCCCTTTTTAAAGTGCCTTGACGTGTGTTTCTTTAGAGTTTGGAACAGTGAGTGATGTAAGCAGTCAGTGTTTCATTTGGGTATCGTGTGTGTATTTTATATATTTTATATACACACACATTACTGTGTCTGTGTACTGGAGATTGAACCCAGGGCCTGGTACATATTAAGCATGCAACCACTGAGCCACACCCCTAGCCCTTGAATACCATAAAATACTAATTGATCATTGGTAGAGGAGAGTGAGTAGTAGACACTGATCTAAGGAAAGAGAATCAATTGAATCCTTTTATTGTTCTTTACAGAGTTTACCTCAATCCCAAATAGATACTGCCAATGATAAAAAGTGAAATAAGACTTAGTCCTTGCTTGCAGCATTAAAATGAAAGACTGCTTAGTGTGACCTGTCCCACTCCCTTTATTTGGGACTCTGACAGTAGAGAATGTGTCTGTGCCCCATGAGATTATCTTGCTGTTTGACTTTTCCTCCTTTGACGTAGGTAGCCTCCCTTCCTGGAACAGCCTTTTCTCTGTGGACATCATCTCTTCCTTTCAAACTGAGGCGACTTTTATTTCAAGCACCCTTTCCATTTCTTTTTGCCCTGGTTGGTGTGATACCCTTCCCTTGTGCATAGCATTTCTCATCTTACTGTATAGTGTCATGCAGTATAAATATTTGTCTGTGTATATGTCCTCCATGCCCTATGGGACAGGGACTCTGTGCCCCCCCCTTTTTAAAGTGCCTTGACGTGTGTTTCTTTAGAGTTTGGAACAGTGAGTGATGTAAGCAGTCAGTGTTTCATTTGGGTATCGTGTGTGTATTTTATATATTTTATATACACACACATTACTGTGTCTGTGTACTGGAGATTGAACCCAGGGCCTGGTACATATTAAGCATGCAACCACTGAGCCACACCCCTAGCCCTTGAATACCATAAAATACTAATTGATCATTGGTAGAGGAGAGTGAGTAGTAGACACTGATCTAAGGAAAGAGAATCAATTGAATCCTTTTATTGTTCTTTACAGAGTTTACCTCTCAATCCCAAACCTTTCCTCAATGGATTAACAGGAAAGCCAGTGATGGTGAAACTGAAGTGGGGAATGGAGTACAAGGGCTACCTGGTCTCTGTAGATGGCTATATGAACATGCAGGTAAGTAAAGAAGGGAAAGGTTACAAATTTCTGTTCATTTTGCTGCAACTTATTCCTCAAAGGTTTAGTGTAAGTGAGAATAAGTACAAGTAAATTCATAAAGTAGAAGTCAGGAATTAAATCAAGGCCAGGGAGGATGTTGTAAGTGTGATAACACTAGGTTAAGACATGGAGTTAAATCAGAATTGAGCCACACATTTTATTCTTAGTGGTTAAAGAAGCGTGTTGACATTTGATCCGTGATACCATAAGGGAAAAACAGTAGTTTACTGGAAAAACCAAAACTTCCCACCTTAAAAAGGGAATTTTTTCTTTAAGAAGTTCTTAAATCTTTTACTGAATGCTTAAGGCACAACAAATAAAAGTATTTCTTCATAGAGAAGACAGATGAACCAACAGGAACTGATGGCGTGATTGCATGTCTATTAAATAATTTCTGTAAATGTTTCACTCTTTTTCCCATAGAACTTAGTTTCCCACTTTACCCATTTTCAAGTATGTTCAGTAGCAGTAAGTACATTCATGTCGTGTACAGCCGTCACCGTCATTCATCACCAAAACTTTTTCACATCTAAAAGTAAAACTCTACCTGTTAAAAATAACTCCCCATTCCCTTCTGCCCCACACAGCCCCTGACACCAGTATTGTTTCTGTCTGTGTGAATTTGTCTGCTCTCAGTACACGAAGCAGAATGGTAGCGTGCAGTCAGCTCTGTGTATCTGTGGGTTCCACATCTGTCGATCCAACCAACTGTGGATTGGAAATACTTATAATCTGCCTCTCAGATTTACAACCTGTCCTTTTTTAGGTACAGTTTTGTTCATTTGGTTGATAGAGCCTCAGTGTCTTTTTGTACAATACACCTTGTTTATATACAGTACTATAATTTTTGTTGATTGGACTGTACAGTGCTATCTATAACTTATGTTCTGTTATACATTACAGCACTGCCTGTAAGAGTTAGGCAAATAAAAGCCAAGTCATTCAGTTGGTTCCTCTGACCGTTTCTTTGTTCTGAATGTTGTAATGTACACACTACACAGTCCCTCATTTAGCAGCCTAGTCTCAGGAATTTAACTTGGTCATTAAACGAGCAATGTCTTTATGGGGCATTGCATCTGTACTAAACATGTACAGGTTTTTTTCTTGCCATTAATCTGTAAACAATACAGTATCAACTGTTTATGTAGCATTTAAATGTGTTAGGTATTATAAGTGATCTAGAGATAATACGATGTAATATTAGGTATCATAGATGCTATGAAGGAAAAGAAAGCAGAAAAGAAGTGAAAGTATGCAGCAGTAGTTTAGATCAATCACCTCTCTGAGTGTCTTTGGTACTTTCTCATTGTTGAGACAAAATAACTGACACCTGCAAATGAAAGGAAGAAAGGTCTGTTTGGCTCAGAGTTTGTAGAGGTTTCAGTTCATAGTTGGCTCCAAGGCAGAGTAGCACAGCAAAATGGGGAGAGTTCATGGAGTGGCGGCGACAGACAGGGAAGATGGGGGATATATACACACCCGTAGCGCCTCACCCCCAGTATCACACCCAGTTATAAACCCATCGGTGGGCTAATCCAGTGATGACTGGTGCATGATCCAGTCGCCTCCCCAAAGCCCTACCTATGAGTGCAGGTGCCTCTGCGGGGACGGGGACATCTGGATATCAGCCATGACACTGAGGAAGTGAATTTAAGCCCAGACCAGAAATGGCTCAAGAAAGTATCTGGGAAAGAGCGTCCAGTGTGCTTGGTGTATTCCAGGGACAGCCAGACAATGACAGAGTGAACTGGGGAGAATGACAGAAAGTTGGGTCGGCGTGGAGGTCACTGAAAGCCTAGGAAGCAATGGCGAGGGCTTTGAATGTAATACAGGATAGGAAGCATTTGGGACATTTTGAGGAATTTAGAAGCCAGTTAAAAATGGGAGAACATGCTAAAAATAATGATTTTTTAAAATGAATGCATTATTTCTGATTGCTGTTGCTCAAAAGATGAATCATCTCAGTGATCACCTTTCAGATGAAGCCATATTCTTGGTTACATGCACTTTGTTTTCTACAGGCAAGGGAATAACACGAGTGGTAGAACTCGTTCATGAAGTCTTTCACATGATTCACCTCCCCTCAAAGCCGTTTTTCTTTCTCTTGTCCACTGGTCTCACTTCCTTTTTTCCTGTTCTTTTTGAGCGTAGCACTAGTGGTGATTTTAAATACTGCAAATAAATTTTATTACCTATATACAGAAGGAAAGCTGAACGTTTAATTTAAAATGAGAAATAAGCCAGGGATTTAGCTCATTGGTGCCGCTGCCTGCCTCGAAAGCTCAAGGACCTGAGTTTGATCCCCGGTACAAAATAAATAATTAATTTAATTTTTAAAAATGAGAAATAACAGGGGTCCCAGAAATAACTATGTACGCCACTCTTAACTCTTTAAACTCCTCTTAAGAACTTGCTTTTCCCTGTTTATTAGTGAATAAAATTTAAAAAGTAAATCCTGCTCAGTTCTTTGGTTTTGGTTGTTGACTAATATATTTTAGTTACAGCTTTTGTACTCCCATTTGGATGCTTCAGTATGACTCATAGTGGTTTACTCTGAGAAAAGTTATTTTCTGGGGTTCTTTAAAACTGAATTTTCAGAGAACATATTAATTATAACTTACAAGGTAGAGGCGGCTGCCTTGACACGCTGCACTGGTATCTGATAAAAATACCACATAACTTCAGCTTTAACAACATTTAAAACAAGCTTTATTATATATAAGGCCTACATCCACGAATATTAGTTTTACTGAATACATACAACCAAAAAGAACTATAATAGTAGCAGAAAGCTAATCTTATTATTAGCTGCAGATACATTTGAAGTGTTGATATAGAAAGGTCTCAGTTAATTAAGTTTTCTCACTAGTAATACATGTATTACACTATTTTATCGCTGTGCAATTATACTTTTATCTTCTTTTTTAAAGCTTGCAAATACAGAAGAATACATAGACGGGGCCTTGTCTGGACATCTGGGTGAAGTTTTAATAAGGTAATAAATAGTAGTGTATTAGTGGTGAGCATTAAATACTTGTTTAATTGGTACCTCAGTTGGGAATTATTTTTTTATCACTATTTCACATAGTGCTCTCAAACTGCAGAAATGTTTGAAATTGTAAAATTTCTCAAAGGTAAAATTTAAATACTTTGGAGTTATGCATCCTAAAGATTTTTCTAGTATTAATATACTTCATGGTTCTCGCTGTATCTTTTTTCAGAGGGTTTTGTTACCAGAGCTTAGTTTTGAATTTTAATTGATTTTGGTTCCTGAGGGTTTTACCACTAGAAAGCCTCAAATTTTAGTAATTACTCCCTTTGGAAAGTCATAAAAATCTTATTTGTGGCAATCACTTGGTAAAAAATAAGTGCCATTGTGCTTTTTAACAAATCTAGGTAACACTGTTCTTTAAAAGAGAAGGAATGGTATAAATTTACTTTTAAATAGTATCGTAATGAAAAATTTATTCAGATCATGCTTGGTTGCTTGCTGAAACAACAAAATGGACTGCTTTTTGCTTGCAGGTGTAATAATGTCCTTTATATCAGAGGTGTTGAAGAGGAAGAAGAAGATGGGGAAATGAGAGAGTAGCGTCTTTGTGTGTTTTTATATATATATTTCTAGACAATAAAGATGTGTTGTTTTTCAGTTTGACTTGTGAACTATCGTACATAGATATTTACATGCAAAGCTCAACTGTTGAAACAATTGAAAGGTAATTCACGGAACTAATCCTTTAAAAACTCCCAGTTTCATTTAAGTTGGTTTTCTTTTGTAAGCACAGTACTCTTTGTTTTCTATGACAAATAATTATATACTTTAGAAATTTTTATGAAGGTAAATTTCAGCCATTTTCATATCATTGTAGAAACTGAGACATTTGAAAACCTTTTTGAACCACTTTTAACATTTTCTTAGTGCTTCGTTTAGCAGCCTACATATTCTGCATCAGTATAAACTAAATTATATGCATACTGTAGCTAAAATTACATCTGAAAATTAAAATGATTGCGGAGATAGGGCATAACAAATCTTGAAATGATGTTTAGGCTGAATATGTAAGGTTTGTTCATATTAGAGAATAAAGTTTTCTGAGTAGAACTTAATGTGAAATAAAAATCAGTCTCATGGTTATGTTCTGAGACCGTAATGTACTATTCACTTAGGTTTAAATCCCCGAAATCCCTTCAGATTTTAGAGTTGTACACTGTTAAAAGACACATCCCACAGCGATAACGGCGTGCTGTGAACTTCCTTACAGAGAAGTAATCTATCATTTAAATGTTCATGTTGTCAGAGAATAACCGTCATTGCACTTCTGTGGTCATTCCCCATGTAGTTAGTGAAGTAATCGTGGATTTGTACCCCAACTGAGAACACAAATATGACATGTTTAGCGGTGTGGAATAATAATTATGAAAAACGAAGCTTCAACGAAAGAAACTCATTCCCAAGCCCATGTATGGCCTTTTCAGTAGAGACAGTCTTCAGTGGTGTAGGATCACATATGGGCTGGGTATGGCTCCTAAGGAGAGAATCTGTGAAACATTCTGGTAGTAAAACGTCTTTCAGCTCCTATTCAACTGAAAAAAAAATCTTCCTCCTGTGATTTTGTTCTCGAATCACTGACCAGAAGCGTTTTGTGTTTGTTACCAGATGGAGGTTTCGAACGGTAGATAAGTCGTCTTCCCACCTGAAACAAAAGAAAAGCGAACCATTTTCTGTCAGAGTGCCTGAGGTGCCAGTAGCAGGTTGAATTTTTACAAGGAGTAATATAGCTTAAAATGCGAAGTTCTTTACAGTTACAAGGGGATTGGTGACCTAATGGCGTGCTAGGCAAAGTGAAGTAGCAAATGGAGAGAGAGCCCTTCGTAAACAGAAGGCAGGCGATGGGTTTCGCGTTGGTCAGTAATGAGTAGCACGTGGTGCCAGTATGGCCAGCCGGGAGCATGGTGCTGGAGGCCAGAATGTCATTCTCTGCAAGTGCCACAAACTTTTCTCCATGCTTGGGGGATTTTGTTCTTACTTGGTGTTTGAAATCTTGTTAAACAAAACATCAGAAAACTATCGTCTTTAACGTGAACATTGCTGCTGATTCTTGGAGATTTCCCACCAGGAGAGGTTTAGGGGCACCCTGGGGTCACACCTGCTCATTTGGAAGCCTACATACTCAAATCACTGGGGATCCCCATCTGCTTTTTTTTTTTTTGAGACAGGGTCTCACTATGTAGTTGAGACTGAACTGGAATTCAGTATGTAGTCTGGGCTGGTCTTGAACTCACAGCGATCCTCCTGCCTCAGTCTCCTGAGTGCTGGGATTACAGGCGTGCGCCACCATGCCTGGCTCCATCTGTTTTTATTTTGCTTTTATAAGTGGGTTTATGTAAATTCAGTGTATAGATGAGGCAGCTACTCTGTACTACTGAACTTGAGATTTGAGGGAGCGTCACTGTCTCAGAAGGGGCACTGCTGACTTCTGAGCACCATCGTTCTCCTGAGACACCGGCTCCTGCACTGCCGGGCGCTCCACATGCCCGGCCTCTAAGAACCTAGTAACCATCACTCTTAGTGCCCCTGTGGGACTGGAATCCCCGTGTTCCTTTTCTGATGTCAGAGCCTTTTGAAATTCTCAGTGGCCTTTGGTGACACGAATACTGTCTCAGAACGTTGCCTGCGACGAAGGGTCCTAATAGTGTAAATTCCCAGCAGAGGTCTTCTTTGTGGTGTCAAAGGACGTGGCCATTTTTTCCTGACTTCTTCCAGGCTTAGTTTCATCCTCGTGTTTAGTCTTTGGGCATTCACTGTGGGCCAGGCATCGGGGATGGAAATAAAGGTCTAGAAGGAAAGGCGGCTGTGCTGACAAGTGTCGGCCTGGCGGGTCTCCTGAGTAGCGCACGTCGGCCGGTGTCCAGTGGTTAATCTCCCTTCGGAGAGAACATGAGGGAGACTCAGGAGGATCTGAAGTGGGTTCATACAGACGCTAAGACAATATACTTATTTAAATGACATTTAACAGTTACTGCCTTTCAGGACTTCGCATTCACCCCTCAAGTCACTGCTTCTAAGCGCGTTTGCTCTCCCTGTGCTAAGAATCGCGTGTCCACCTCAGCTGCGCCTGTGATGGCGGCATTGTCCCGGGATCTGTTTCGGACCCGATGCCAGAGGAATGGCACATGGGACCACGGGCCCTTCCCCGTGAAGTCTCAGGCCACACGCAGTTGGCGTCTGCCTGATCCCGAGCTTCTGCCAGGATGGAACGCGTAGTACGCAGGACGCGGTCTCCTGGAGCCGGGGCTGCACTCTGGTGCGTCAGGCTTGGGTCCCATCTCACTACCGTCAGTCAATCAAGTTGGCTTTGGGTCCCAGTTGCTGAATCGGGAATGATGGAGCAAATCACTTCAACTGCAATGATCTAATTAACAGTGTAGGACTTAAGACTTGTGCAGTTACATCTGGTTCTCTGAATTCACTATTTACACAGTGTTGAGTGGAAGAAGCAGGATTCATGGCTACCATTTATAAGAAAATGTGGGGCCAGGGATTTAGCTCAGCGGTTCGGTGGCCTGCTTTGCAAGCGCAAGGACCCGAGTTCAATCCCCGGTACGGGGAAAAAAAAAAAAAAAAAAAAAAA